GCAGGCAGGGCAGGATCGCGGCGAGCGGAGCGGCGCCATGGGAACTCCATGGACGGCTATATTGGGTGCTGCAGGGCGTGGCGGGGCGTGGTGGGGCACCTCGTGGGGGGCGTCTTCGCTGCGGGGCGCGCGGCCTCGAGGTACCGGTGCGGCGGTCCGCGTTCTGCGAGGCGTTCTGCGAGGCGTTCTGCGAGGCGTTCTGCGAGGCGTTCTGCGAGGCGTTCCGCCACGCCTCTCCTCGGCGCCGTCTCGCCGTCTCGCCGTGCCGGGCGGGGCGGGGCGGGCGTGGCCGGAGGGCCGCGAGTCCGCGAGGGCCGCGGCGTGGCGGCCGCCCGGCCGAGTTAGTTCCCCGACGAGCGTCGGCGAGGCCCCGACGGCGTGGCACGAGCGGCGTCTGCGCGGCGCCAGCGGCACGCGGCCCCGGACATGGACTGACTCCGCGCGAACTAACTCCGCAGAGCCCAACTTGGATATGAATGGGGCGCCAAACGGTGGTCTGCTTCGCGCTCCAGGAGCAGGGTGAGCGTCCATCAATAACGTAAAAGCTGCGTGTGCGTGTGTGTGTGTGCGTGTGCTACGCCCGCGCTTTGAGTTGGGCTCGGACCGGGGTGGCACAGCTTACGGAAATTCGCCATAAAATCAGGCCGACCTTGCTGTGACAGGCCTTCCGCTTTTTTCCCGCTTTATTTGCTTCTTCCTCCGCGATGAATGGTCGCGGAAGCGCTTTGCCGCGATCACTGCGATCACACAGGCCTGGCCGCGTGAATCTCCTCCACTGTGGGGGCGTGGTGGGGCATGGCGGGGCGTGTGAGGCGAAAGGCCTTTCCAGGGCGGTGCCTTTGAATGGCGAGGGGCCGAAGGACCGAAGGGGACCGGCCCGTTCACGCACACGAGGCTCACGCCCGCCCCGCCCCGCCCACGCCCGTGCCCCGCACTGGCTGCTGCTCGTGGCCGCGATCGGAAGAGTGATCCCGATCGAGTGGCGGGGGCGGCGGGGGCGGCGTGGCGGGGCGGGGCGGTGTTATCGACAACAATGGAGCAGTTGCCTCTCCAGCGGAGTGTTTGTGTGCCGCCCTGGACGGGCCGGGCCGGGCCGCCGCCACCATCAAGAGGACCGCCACCGCGGTGTGGCGGTGCACGGCGTCAACCCCTCGAACCCATTAAATTCACAGCAACGACAAAATCGCGCGGACGTGCGCGTTGTGTCGCGGCCGTGGCGGGCGGCGTGGTGTGCAAAGTGAAGGGCTCGTCGTAAAGAGAGGCATCCTACAAGTCGCTCGTCGAACATTAGGGCGGCGCGTGGAGGTGTTGCGGGAGAGGGGGGGGGGGGGTGATAGGGCGGCAAAGTAAAAGGCGGGGCGGGGATGATAACTTTGTGACCTCGGTCGTAAAATTTGGACCATACGTGCCTCGGACGATAAGCGTTCCCGACGGCGCGAAATTTGATCGGCCTTCTTATTGCCAGATTTTCCCCCCGGCCTCCCGATCACCACTCCCCTTTCCCCACCCCCTTCCCCCCACCCCCTATCCCTCCGCACGCACGCTTCCCCAGAGCCGTTATATAGCCCACTAAAGAGCTGATATTTGGCGAGACCTGGCCGGCCGTTTACTCGGCCACGCGCCATCAAGTTACCGCCGCCATAGGATTGGCGTCGGCGCCTCTTTCTCCGTGAGGCAGGCGGGCAGGCGGGCTAGCTTGGCCCGGCCATGGCCCGGCCCAAGGTCGCTAGTCCGGCCCTCCATCACCCGCACGAACCGGGTTTTTATTCGCCCAGCAGGCAGGCGGGCGGTTGGGCGGGCGAGCGCCCCGAAGAGCAAAAGGCTGTCAAGGGCTGCACAAAGGGCGATAGTATCAAAGAGGCCATTACGCCAAGTAGCAGAAATTCGGCCAGCCATTTCGGGGCCGGCTTTCTTGCCGCTTTTACACCGCATCCTTTCTGCGTGCGTTCAGTGGAAAGGTGGCCAAGATAGGCCCAGGCAGGCAGGCAGCCAGCCAGCCAGCCAGCCCACCGCAGGCGTGTGGTGGTCTCCATGAAAGCAAGTGGCACTCACTCCAGTGCGGAGGGCATTGTTTGTGCGGCCCCCTCCCTGCTCGTGACTTTGTCGCTTGCCGTCGCGTCGCGTTGCACAGTGCCGTGGGCAGCACGCGCGTCGCGGACAGCGTCCTGGACAGTGTCCAGCACTCACGTCACCGCGTCACGCCGGCCATTGTGCCACGGAGGGGGGGGGGGGCGTCACGGAAGACAATAGTGGGGCGTTGAGTGGCCCGACCGACGTGGCGTGTCCGAGAGGCGAGGTTAAGTCGGGTTTGTGTCAAGAGGTTTTCGGGGGCGATTCGGGCGGGAGTGGTTAAGGGTTTAGGGTTTAGTCCTCTAGGCTGGGGGGTGGGGGGACCGGATCGGAAGGGTTGGCGTGATAATCGCGCTGGGCGGGGCGAGGCTAGGCGTGGCAAGGCGTGATCGGGCCAGTGATGGAGCAGCCGCCACCCGGGCCCCCGAGTGATTGAGGAAGACGTGCTGGATGGAGACGGAACGGCGCGGCGCGGCGCCGCCCCTCCCCTTGCACCTGGACTCCAGGCCGCCGTTCGGCTCGTCGCCACTCGTTCCGCGCCGCTCGCCGAAATAAAGAACGCCGGCGTAATCCGGGTGCCAGACTGCCAGTGTGCCGGCGCGACGCGCGTCCCTCGCAAAATGGCCGTTCGGAATCTACGGGCCGGAACTGCTCTGCCGTCGTTCGCTCCAAATCTGCGAGCAGAGCGCCCCCCCCCCCTTTTCCTGCCGCCGGCGCGCCGTCGCCGTCCTCTTCGCGTCCCCCGGGATAATGGAAATGATCCCTTAACGACCCCCGGCTCCCTCGGGACCATCGGGACCCTGGCCGCTGGGCCGCCCGGCCGCTCGCCGGCCCGGCGCTTCACATCGGCCGACGCGACGCGAGCCAGCAATTTGAAGGAAGCTCGCCGTACTTTATGGCATCCTGAACGGGAGTCCCGGCGCGCGCCTCGCTCTGCCTCTCTCGCGCCCACGGCATAGCTCGCACGGGTGCGAGGGGGACAGAGCGAACGGTTCGAGCTCCGCCGGCAGCCTGGAGCCGGCCTGGAGCCGGCCTGGAGTGGATGTGAATGGGGTGAATCATATCTTGGCCGCGATACGGCGAGAGCGAGAGAGAGGGAAGCCCGCACTGTCCCTGTCTCGCAATAAAATATACGGATCCAGGAAATAAATCTGCACCCCGCCGCAGTCACTGCCGCTCGAGGGATTTCATTATTCTGCTGACCACCGCGGGCGAGCGGGCGTCTTTGGCGGAGGTCGCGAGAATGCGGGTGACGAGAGTGGATATTGGGCGAGGCCACGACGGCGAGAGGCGAGGCGAGGCGAGGCAGCCCCTGGAAGCGAAGGCCCCGCCGCGACTTCTGACTTGACTTCATTAATTGCATTCCACTTTTTTTTTCTTTCTCCCTCACGCTTCGTTTTCCTTTCGGAGTCGCGCTCGCGCCTGGCGCCTGGCGCTACGCGTCGGTCAACATCTCTCTTTGATTTTATTTTTAAAAACTTGTCTCTCGTCGGTCGCTGCTGCCGCTTCCCGCGCCGCCCCCGTTTTCGCTCCCCGCCGTCCCTGCGAGGCCGTAGATAAAACAAAACCTGTCAACAAAGTTCCTCCCGCGCCGCGAGCGAAGCCCAAAGCCGAAGCACGAAGCACGGAGAATTTTTACACCGGGTAATCCGATGCGGAAAGTCTTTTCGGCGGAGCGCCGTGCTGCGCTGCCAACAGAGCTCGGCGGAGTCCACGAAATATCACATTCTGCCCCGCTCCGCTACAGCCACGCGTGCGGTGCGCGGTGCGCGGTGCGGTGCCCGACTGCGGTGCTGCGGCGCGTGTTGTTGTTGTCGGTCGTGATGATGTTGTTGGCGCAGGCGGTATTCATGAGGTGGGGCGGCAGGAGGCGCCGCGCTCCCACGACGCACATGTTTGTTGGTGCCGGGGGAGGGGGAGGGCGAAACAGGTGTGGAGGTGGTGGAGTCTTTGACCGCGTCACGCTCACCGCGTGCCGTGTGTGTGTGTGTGTGTGTGTGGGTCACATCTTTGCGTGCCATCAAGTTTTAAGCGTTCCCCGCGCCGGATTGTGCCAGCAGCCCGGACCGGGCGCTCGCGTTATTCGCGCACATGAGTAATTTGGACGCGACGTCAGCGCGACGAGGCGGCGAAGCACGCAACTATCCAGCCAGCCGGGAAACCGGGCCCTGGGGGCACACGGCACCCGGCGCCGCGCGCTGCGGGGGTGGCCTCGCCCCGGTCAAGCACCCTATCAAGTGCTCCGACGCTCCCCTTTCTATTTTGCATACTTTGCCGGCGCGGGTGCGGCGGTACAAGAAAACGTGCTCGCACACACACGCACACACACACGCGCACCCGGCAGCAACAGCCTAGACACACAGCACACCCACACAGGCGGCTAGTCAAACACACGGACGGGATTCTAATTGAGGATGAAAACGGGCAGCGAATCCCTTCGGAAGAACGACGCCGTCCTCTTTTTCTCCGCGCAGTGCTGCGCAGTGCTGCGCGATGAGGCCCTTGTCTGTCATTGAAGCGAGCAAAATGAGGGGAGAAGAAAGCGGCCCGGCGATTGCGCGATAATTGGCTGCGCGTTGTTTTTGTTGTTTTCCTTCCCACAGCAACGCGCAGCGCGCGCAGCGACGCGGCCGTGCTTTTGTTCTACTCCATGCTTCCGTCTCACCGGCAGACACGGGAAGACACGGACCGACACGCGTCGGCTAGAGCGGCGGCGCCGCCCCAGTTCCTGCCGCACGCGGACGTCGTCGTGTTCCTCGCCGACGTGGCCGAATGCCGATGTCGCGCTGTCGGCCTGCCTGAACCAAGGCCGGCCAAGGACGCGGCAAGGTCGCGCACGTGTCTTGGACGCCGCGACCCCAGCCCGGCACGCGCGGCGCCGCGCGGCGCGCCACCCCTTCGCTAATGAGCCTGCCTTTATTCTGTTCCAGTTGACGGTGGGGAGGATGCGGGGAGCGGGCTGCCGGCTTCGGCCAGGAGGCCCAGCCGGGGCTCCACGTCGGGCACGTCGAGCACGGACGCCGCGGCTACGGTACGTATTAGGCTGGCGCCTAAGCTACTTGGCTTAAGACTTATTTTCCTTTAAGAGGCTTTATTCAGGCCAGATTCTGCTTGGCCGCCGACGAAACCGACTGTTCGGGCTGCTTCGGGCTGGCTGGGGCGTCGACCGGGGGTTCGGCCTCGGTCTTGCACGGTGCGCTCCACTTGTGTGGCCGAGGCGACCTAAGCGGATAGAGACGCCTAGCCCAGCCGAGCCAGCCCAGATAAAGGACCGGGGCGGCCAGGCCCAGCCCGCCCCAGCCTCTCGGAGGCGCCGCTAGAAACACGCGCTCCTCGCTATTTTCTATTTTCTCTCCCTAGTAGACTTTGCCTTAAGATTGGAGGTCGAGGTCAGTTCTCCCCGTGGACGCGAGTCAGCGTCCCACATCACATCCCTCCCTAATCCGGCCGTCTGCCCACAGCAGGCCGCCGAAGACGCCGCGGCCGCCGCGCAGCAGCGCTTCATCGTCGAGACCATCACCATGACGACGGTCACGGAGCGGCGCATCGTGCGCGAGGCGAGCGAGAGCGGCGAGCAGGTGGTGAAGGGTGGCATCCTCAAGGGCGGCAAGATGTGGCGGACGCCTTCGCAGGAGGGCGCCGCCCCGACGGCGCTGCCCGCGCTGCCGGAGCCCCCCGCCTCCGCCGTCACCGCCTCGTCGCCGTCGCCCAGCTCGCCGACGGACGACAACGACAACGCGCTGCGGCCCATGGTGCGCTTCACGGAGGAGGAGCTGGCGGAGCGGTCCGCGGCCAGCGGTGCCGAGTCGGACAGCGTGTCCAGCGGCAGCACGGCGCCGGCCGCCGCCACCGCCGCCCCCGCCGCGCCCGCCAACAACCCCGGCGAGGTGACGCTCACGTTCCGCATCGGGTCCAGCATCCTGCAGGCGGGGTCGCTGCAGCGGCCCAACAGTGCCGTGCGACAGCTGTTCCCGGGGTCGCTGCCGGCCAGCACGGACGGCGACGACGAGGAGGTGCCGCTGCCGCTGCCCTACCTGCTGACGGCGGACACGCTGCGCACGCTGGACGGCACGCGGCGCTACCGCAAGGCCGACGCGTCCGACATCCCGCCGGCCGAGGGCACGCTGCGCCGCGCCATCGAGAGGAACACGCTGCGCCGCTCCCTGCTGGCGCGCGGCAAGCAGCGCCGCCAGGACTCGCTGGTGGAGCGCATCCGCCAGCTGACGTGCGACGTGGACGACGACGTGCCCGACCAGGCCGAGGTGCCGCGGCCCGAGCTCGAGGGCACGTCGGACACGAGCGCGGACGGCGAGCGCACCAGCCCCCAGGGCGAGGAGCAGGCCTCGCCCGCGCAGGCCCACCACCCCGCCAACACCGCCGCCTTGCCGCTACCCACGGCGCCGCCGCCACCCGTCAGCCACGTCAAGACCAGCTCCACGTCCAGCTCGTCCAGCAACGCCTCCTCCACGTACAAGAAGCTGTCCGACTTGTTCTCCAGGAAGAACCAGGAGCGGGCGAACCACCACCAGGTGAGTGCGGCCTCGCGGCCGACGGCACGGTAGCTCCTCAGTGTAGCTACGGGAGCGTCCAGGAACCACGCATTGTCTGCTCAGCGGCTAGCCACGCCCCCGTCTCGAAGGGCCGAGCAGGCGGCAGGCAGCGACCGCCCAGTCGGTACGCCAGCACGCGCAGCACGCCCGCCGCGCGGGTCTGCCTACCCCGCATTCCGCGGGCGCTTGCCCGGCCTCGGCACGCCTGGCCGACGCGCGTGGTTCCTGGACGCCTCGCCGACCGCCCACACGCACGCTTTCTTACTCGTACCGCCGCTAGTTCCTTGTAGCCGTTTAGCGGCCTTAGCCTGACCACACCGCTTTCCAGGAGCCCCTGTACCAGTACGACCCGTACCCGTTGTCGCCGCCGGACCTCGGCAATGGCTTGGTGACCTCCCTCTCCGGGACTCAGCAGCAGCAGCAGCAGCACTTTGTCGGGCCAAAGACCGCCGTGTCGCGCTCCAACTCGACCGCGGAGGCGCGCAAGCAGTTCCTGTCCACGCTGGCGCCGGCGTGTGTGTTTCACGTGAGTAGACGCAGGTGGCGAAGTTGGCCGAGGCGGTGGCAGCGCGGCAGCGCGGCAGTGACACGCGCGGTTGGCGTTGGCACCGCGGCACCGCCCGGGTCGGGCCCCTGCGCTGCGGTCCAACCCACACCCGCACCCTCGGCAAGAAGAACTAATTGAGTTGCGCCACTCCGTCTCAGCAGTTTGGCGAGTTTCGGCTCCGCCTTCCGTTTTCGCGTTTTTTGCCGGTCTTCTGTGTAGGGAACTCATTACGCGGTGTGTTGTGGTAGCCAATGCGCGACGCCGAGATAAGTCCACTCAGGGCGAACTGGTGAGAAAGTAATTAAAAGTAGTTTCCGTTAGAGCGACTTGATTATATTGGAGTTGAAGTGCACGCTAACTAGACTATGTGTGTTTTGCATTTAGAATAACTAGTCATGCACCTTTTCCACGTCGTACTTTAATTTTCTTTGCTTGGCTTTCCATCTCCATTTCCCGGGCCGCGCGCGACGGGTCGCGTTGACGTCGATCATTTCCTCTCGCTTTATTTTTTCCCGCCGGATTTTCGATCTGCGGAAGAGGAAAGCAGGAAAAGGGGGGGGGGTCTATTATGTTCGACAGCACGGCGCGGGCTAACAGGCGGCGGAAACTTCACAAACACCCGCCGCCTCCGCGCGGAGCAGAGAAAAATCGACGGCAAAATGTCAGACCGTGCTCGACCGCGCTTTCTCTTTGGCGGCCAAAGTCCGCCGTGCGTTCGCGTCGCGCTGTCGCCGCGGGAAAAAAAAGGGGGGGGGAATGCAAACGGGGAAGATAACAGCTCATTCCCCCCGGGACTGTCCTTTTTGCGCCCCGGAGGCCCGGAGGCTGCTCGCCGCGCTGGAGGCCCTTTTTCGGCGCCGAATAAATCCTGGCAGGTGACTTACGACGCCGCTAATGCGCCCACCACAAATCACGGAGCTGCCCGGTGCGTCCAGCCGGCTGGATTAGCGTGGCTGCAGCGGGTGCAGTGCACTGTGCGCACGCCGCGTTACGTGGTTCGTGGACGGACCGTGCCTCGGGCATGGCCTCGGGCACCTCGAAGAGTGTCGACGACGACGCGTCGCCGCGTCGCCCCCACCCCGCCCGCACCTTGGTGAGCCCCTCGCGGCGCCACTACACCAGACAACCCCTCCCTCCCACTCCTCTGACGGCTTTGGAGGGGATGTACTGCAGTTTGATTGGATGGCGAACTCTAATCCAATTTAGAGGAAATCGGACGCTCAACCAGCCCGAGCCCGGCCGCCGAGCTGGCCCTCCGACGGGACCCCCTCGACGGGACCGCTCTCAGGACAAGAAAGGGCAGGCTCAATGGGATCGTCTCCAGATTCGATCGTCGGCGATATTGGCGCAAATGTTGAAGGGAGTAGGGCAGCAGACGACGCGACTTGTCCCGACGAAGGGGCGGCGGGGCGGGGGGAGGGGGGATGATCCTCGAGCTGCTGGAAAAGGGCGTCGGCCAGAAGGGCCGCGTCGGCGGGGTGGGTAAGGGACTCGGTCCCGGACGGCTTGCTGACGCGGTTTAAGGACTAATCCAATGCAAGTTTCGGTTTACTTACTGGATAAAGCCAGCCAGCAGCGCTGTCAGCAGCACAACAACGGCGTCCCGTCAGCATCCGGAGCACGCCGCCCCATCCCCCACAGAGCCCCCGGGCCCCGGCCCTGCAGCGTCGGCAGCCCCGGCAGCCAGCCCCGGAGTGGGACCAGACCAGACCGACATGCGAATCGGGACAAATAAATGCAGTTTGCGGGGAGGGCTGAGACGAGACGTGGCGCCGGACCGGCCACCCCACTGCGGGGCCTTTTCTGATTGCCCTATTTCGGAGACCCTGTCTCAAGACCCAGTCTCAACACCTTGTCTCAAGACCGCTTTTCATGTTCGTGTTGCAGGACGGCGCCGGGGACCGCCGCAGCGCCGCCATGGGCCACGAGTACAGCCTGGACGACATCGACGAGGCCCTGGCCAACAGCGCGCCCCAGGCGCCGGCGGGGCAGAACCAAGACCACCAACACAAGCCGCCCCAGCCTGACCTCGTGGCCGGTAAGTCCAGTTCAGCCCCAGTCACCGGCGGCGATACCCCACGCGCCGCGGAGATAGCGCCGAAGGGGGCATCCCCAGAGCACGGCCGGCGATACCCCGCGCCCGCGCCGTGAGCGTGGAGTAGCGCCGCGGAGCGCCTGCGAGGCGGGCCGGCCCGCAGCGGAGCCGAGCTCTGCGGCGCTGCCTATCCCCGACTCGACAGGCGCTCCGACGCACTGTAAACCTCCCGCATTCCAACCGCGATTGGCTTGTCCATGTCCAGGGACGGAGAACTCCAAGGCGGGCGGCCAGCAGGTGGACGAGCTCGCCCTCTTCGTGCAGCGGGACGCGTCGCGGATAGACAGGATACGGAAGAGGTACTCGATGAACAGGTACGTAGCACTGCAAAACAATGCGATGCATTTCTACTTGCAGCCCTACGAGTGCTCGTACGAGTGCCTGAACTGTGTGCTTGCTCTTGCAGCAGTTCCTCGCAGGCAGCTGGCTCTGACGGCGAGGACGACGAGCACGACGACTACGGCTTCAACCGCAGACCCTCGGTGCGCGGCATCCGGCCTCGCTTCGGGACGACGCAGGAAATCGTGAAGCAGGTGCGTCATCCAAACCAGACCACACACTACATCTTGTTCTTGCTTCTGTTGTGGTCCTGATGCGAACCGCAATGTGTGTTCTCTCTGCAGATGACGCAGCAGTCTCCCTCCGGAAACCAGTGTCCCTCGCACCACTGGCCGGCTGGCGTGCCCGTGGCTGGGGAGGAGCCCCTGCCCCTACCACCGCCACCCGTGTCCGGGCCTCCGCCAGGTAGGGCACGACGATCCACCACGTCGCATCACCAGTGGCAGCAGCGCGGGGTATCTCCAGCGCCAGTCCGAGCCAGTCCAAGGCAAGGAGTAGTGACACACGTTTGCTTGTTACAGTGCCCATCCGGACCTGTTCGGAGCTGCAGACGACGCAGCAGCACACGGCGCAGCAGCAGCAACAACTGCAGCAGCTCCAGCAGCAGCAACTGCAGCAACAGCAGTTCCAGCAGTTGCAGCAGGACGACGGCACGTACGCCTACATGCCGGCCGCGGACTACCACCGCATGACGGTGGCCACGGCGGCGACGGCGGAGCACGTCATGTACCCGGGGCACGGCGGCACGCTGCAGCACGGCCAGCACGCGCAGTACCTCATGCGGATCTCGAACCAGTCCGTGTCCGCCGCGGGCGCCTACTCCATGACCACGACGGCGGCCGGCGCCGCTGGCGGCGCGCAGGGCCTGCCCGTCGGTCCGGTCAACACGGGTCCCGCCGTGCCGCCGCGCTCCGACGACGTGGACATGTACGGCCGCCGGCAGGCCAACATGCTGCAGATGAGGATGGCGGCGCCGGGCTCCAACGCCGTGGGCTACGACCCGCCCTACGCCACGCTGCCGGCGCACGCGGGGCTGGCGCAGAGGGCTCCCGCCGCCAACGGCAACGGCAATGCCAACGCCAACGGCAACGGCCCGCCGGCCTGGCAAGCCCACGCCATCCGACTGCCCTTCCCCGGCGGCACTCCAGTGCAGGTAGGCGCAGACCCCGCCAACCCCAGTCCCTACACGGACCGCTCTGCCGGCTCTGCCCCGCGACTCACCCCCGTTGCCGCTGTTGCCGCTGCTCAGGTCCACCTCATGACGACGGCGCGCCGCTCCGAGAGCCCCCAGCGCTACGACCACCAGCAAGTGGTGATCGGCACCCAGACGGCCTACTACCAGCAGGCCTCGCAGCAGGGCCCGCTCGTGTACCAGGAGCAGCCCGCCCTGGCCGCCCTGCCCGGGCTGCCGGCCCACGGGTCGCCGACGCGCGGCGCGGGCCCCAAGCCCGGCATGGCCTTCCAGGCCGAGCGCGGCGTGCCCGAGGGCGCGGCGTCGTCCTCCCCGGCGCTCTACGACGCCTCGGCGTCGCACGCCTCCATCCAGAAGGACCTGACGTCGCCCACCGCCCTGGCCGCCAACGCCGCCACCTCGCCGTCGTCCGAGTTTCCGGCCACGTCGGCCGCGGCCACAGCCGCCGCCTCCTCCGTGTACTACGCCATGAACGTGTGAGCAGGCTGGCAGCCGCGTGGAACTCACCGAGTGGCCTCAAGTCATATCTGTGAAGAGCGTACAACAAACTGTTATTTGTAATTTACTAGACTTTTTCATTCCGTTTCGTCTGAAAAAAAAGTTATGTCTTTCTTCCGTCAAACCTTTGCGTCTGTCAATGGGAGGGATTAGCTGCTCATGACCACTAGGTAATGGAAAAAGAAATTGTATCGTTTATTATTATAGAAATTCTTATAATCGACAGAGTGACGTTGCTTCGCCTGTCTATGATCTACTGTGAGGGGAAGTCGCGGACTAGGGGACAAGTCCTTAGTTAAGTATGGCACTGCATCGCTCCAAGAAGCGGCTCGACACTAGACGACTGAAAAAATTGGGAAACCCTCCTCCCTCGGGGGTCGTGATGGTTTCCATAGTGACTGTTTCAACAACGGTCACCTGAAAGAGTTATCCTTGCCAAAGTGAAGAATCGACCGCATGAAATGATTAGGATATTTTGTATAGTGCTTACAGTAGTACAGGGACAAAAAATCTCACTGTGATATATACATAACTTTATCTTCTATCTAACTATAATGCTTCCTTACTTTTTAATAACGTAATTAGATAAACAGATCGAGAATCTACTTCATGCTCGAGAAATTAGGCAAACAAGAGAGTATGCTTTTCGAGTCCTTATTTGCGTTGCTCCATTTAATTTCCTTCCAAAGATATTTGTATTCCATCGACATATCAAAAGCAAGTTTCGCACAATTTGATGGGGCGCTATTTGCGGGTGCTTTCATACCGTACCGCACAGAATGGTTTTCATAAATATCTTTACGCAAGTGCCTTAAGGGTTTGAACTGAAAGAGTCACGGGATTTTGCACAATTGAGTGTTTCAGCATTTCTTTCAGCGACTCGGCGCTGGGGCTGTACTGTGCCCTGGAAAAGTTACGGTGACGAGATTATGACTGTTTTGATTGTTATTTTTGTCATGTTGGCGTCAGCGTTGCTATTCCGTTTTTCCGCTGGATGGTCGCGTGTCGCTCCGAAGATGATGTGATGTGCGCGAGAAGTGCGAAGACCTGCGTGACTTTCAAGTGCGAGGGAAAATGGTGATATACACTTGTAAAACTGACTTTATTTCTACGTTTGCCAGTGCCAAGCCAAATAGGCCTAAAAACTCTCTTATTATTGATTTTATAAGCAAAATCAGGAACAAATCTTTGTATTTTTTCCGTGCTAATCGCAAAATTCTTTATGTGTGTTGTTATAAGAGATGACGCTCCTTTATAGTTGTATAGTTGATTTAGATGGCCTCGTGCCCCTTTGATCAAAAGTGATTATGCCAAAGAGAATATAACTCCATGTTGTTATGTGTCCTAGATACAACTCTGTCTCCATAATTGTTCCATTGTTAATGAAAGATTGTGTTGATTTCTTTATATATATTTACAGTGCCAAAGACAGCAAAATACCTGCATTACTTTCACGTATTACACCTTATGGCTCCAAAGAAAAGAAACCATTGTTATTTTACTGAAACAAATTTTTCGATATATCCACCTTTAGCAAACAAATTGAAGTTACTAGGAAAAATATTCCATATTGTGTCTTTGTGATGCAGATTATTAAACAAAAAAGGATTTATTGGACCTCTACAGACGAAAGTAATTGCATAACGCTGAGGTTGTGCAGACTGAATTGGGCGATTGTTGTGCATTCATTTTGTAACTTAAATACATGAAAAGTGAGATCTCAGCATTTGTTTATGAAATGAAAGGAAATGACAATTAATGGCCTATGTTACTCATTAGAGGCATTTGTCTATCCTGTGAAACCTAGATATAACTGAAATAAAGTATGAACTGTGAACAGAGTTTCATTTCAAACCATAACGTCAGTTGCTAACGCATGGTCAGATTGCCACTATCGATATGTAATGAAACGGCGGGCATATATAACAACGTAAATTTTATTCACGCAATTAACTTACATCATTCTCACAACACTCACGCTTACTAAATACCTATGGTAACAATTAATAGTAACAGACACAAGTTCGACATCCACTCAATGTTCTTTATTACAGGCACATACTGAAGTCTTTAACCAAATATTTTAATGGTTTGTTTTATTTCTAAAAATATACAGAAATGATTTTGCTTGTAAAAATACAGCACATTTTAATGGCAGTATCGTTATAAATAAATAAACGGAGATGTTTGCAACAAACCGATAAAATTTTATAAGTTGTTCATTTTTTGTCGAATATTGTACACGTCTTTATAAAATGAAAGAAACGTAACTTACGAATGAACGTGCAACAGACAACGACCCCTGGTAATGGGAACACCATGGCAAACTTAAACTATAAGCAACTTAGAGTTTCAACCAGGGAGGGCTTAATGTGTTCAGAGTAGTGGCAGGTACTGTAGACGCTGTTTCCTTTTTTGTGAAAGTAGTTTACGTCTACTTGCAGAGTGAGAGCACTGTGACTGCACGGGAAAGCAACATTGAGCAACAGGAAGAACAGAAATAAAATACAAAATCACAATCACGAACGGCTCCTTCTGCGAACGAGAAGTCTTTGGAATTGGGCACCCGAAGGGCATCCCGGTTTCCCTTGGAAACTTGGCCCACTCAGTACGAGCCGGCCAAAATGCACTGCGGCCTCGGCGTCTTGACACGTGAGGCGGCGACCACGGACACTGTTCTCCCTTTCGGAAGGCGTCGCTCCCTGCAGCAGCAGGGTCTTTGTGGCGCGGGGCTGCGCCGGGCCCCTAGCAGGGCCCCTAGTAGGGCACGTCGATGTCGCGCTGCTTGCCGCAGCAGCAGCACGCCCTGCACAGCAGCACCAGGGCGGCCAGGGCCAGCAGCGCGGCCGACGCGGCGCCCACGTACAGCGTCCACCACGGGTAGCCCTCGTCGCGCACCGGCGCGCAGTGGGCGGGGTCCTCGTCGGACGTGGCCGAGTCGAAGGCCACACTGTCGGCCACGCCGGGCACGGGCGGGGGGCAGTTGAGCACCCCGTTGCAGACCAGCCGGGACGGGATGCACATGCCCGCCGTGCCCGGGCACATGAAGGCGCAGTCGTCGTTCTGCCGCAGGTCGCCGACAGGGGTCTCTGCGGCGGGCACTGTCGACAAAGACGCGGGTAGAGTCGTGCCACTCGCACTCCACGAACGCGCCGAGGACACTCACCTCCCGCGGCCTGCAGCCGGCCCAGTGCTGCCGAGCCCCTCTGCAGCTCCGTCCAGCGGAGGTTGAAGGCGACGGCGTTGGGCGAGGACGCCGTCAGCGTCACGACGACGGGGCCCTCGAGCTGGTCCGTGGGCAGGATGGGCAGCTTGCGCTGCTCCCCGCCGTCGCCGCAGCTGCTGAACCAGGGCTCGGCGCCGGGGATGTCCGTGAGCAGCACCTGCAGCCGCGCCTCGGAGCACGAGTGCGTCGTGAAGGACAGCTGCAAGCAGAGCGAGCATCGTCAGCACCAAGCTTCTGGTCCAACGACCGTGTCCAACCCACCTTCTCGAAGTGCAGCCACAGGTCCTTCTTCCAGTGCACGTTGAGCTCCCAGCGGCAGTCGATGGCGCGCGGCGGCGGCGCCACGGCGAGGGCCTCCAGGTGGGGGAACGTGAGCTGGCCCTCGGCCGAGGCGGCCAACGACGCGGGGCCGCACAGCGGGCCGTGCACGAAGCGGTAGCGCGCCTCGAACAGCGGCGCCTCCTGCCGGAAGTACTGCTCCGCGCCCGGCCAGGGCAGGCTCATCTGCAGCAGCAGCACGGGCCCGCGCGACACCAGCTGGATGTTGGCGTCTGCAACGAGCGGTTTGCCGGTCAAACTCTTTCCCCTGTGGCTGTACTTCCAGGACCAGCCGGCCGCACTACTCACTGTCCACACTCTGGTGCATGCACAGCCCGCCCAGGGACCGGTTGGCGGGCTGGATGTCCCGGGCCTGTCCGGAGAGCACGGCGCTGGCCTGGCCGGCCTGGGGCTCCCACAGCAGCAGCCGGTCCCCCCGGCCCTCCCAGCAACTGTTGACGTGCGGCGAGTAGCCGCTGCCCTCCTGCAACACGACCAGCACAATCACACTCCGGCAAAAAAAAAACCAGAAAAACACTCATTTGGACGGGTTCGATCGGCGCGCCGCTGGCGGCTCGGAGAAAAAGAAAGAGTCGTTCGGACCGGAAAGTAACGAGCAAAGCGAGTCGAGAAACGTCCAGGCAGCTTATGGATAACCAACGGAGCTCCAGTGTTGCCGGCAGCGCCGGGGAAGCAGGGAGGCGAGGAAGTCATGTGAATATTGCATCACCTGGTGCCCGGCGGCGTTTCGCACGCCTGTCCCTTTCAAACTGATCACGCTGGGGCGAATTTTGGGACACCGTGTGGGGCCGCCGGGCTGTGGGGGCACGGCCCAAGGCCCCGGGGGGCTGCTGGGGCTGGGGCTGGCCAACAAGCTGGTTGTCCACATCCGGGCTGCTTGTAGCGGCCGGGGGCGCGCCCTGGGGCGTGTGCCTGCCCGCCCGCCCGCGTACTGTCGTCCGGAGTTGACGCGTCCGCCCCCGACGCGCCCCTCCGGGGCCGGGCCGGGCAGGGCCGCAGCGTGTTGGGCCGTCCAAGGGTGCAGGGCGGGGCGGGGCGGGGCTGCGACGGCAACGAGATTGCACTTGGCAGTATTTGCATTGCATGTTTGTTCGGGAGAGTCCTGCTGCTGCTCCAGCCCCGCCCCGACTCTTTTCCGCCAACCCTCATCGCCCTGGCCGAGGCCCTGGCCACCGGGCCGCCTCCCCACGACAGGCAAGAAGACCCTCCGCGCCCTCCCATCCCCATCCTGTCGCCGTCCGCTCCAGGACCGCCAGCGCCGCCAGCGCCGCCAGCGCCGCCACGCCGCGCGTCACGAAAAGGGCCAAGGAAAAGATGTCGCAGAATTAAAATGTGCTTGGTGGCATCGCCCCACCCCACGCCGCGTGCCTGGCCTTTTCAGGCGTCGCGGCCCATTGTGCGCCAGGGCCAGGCTGCGAGGCTGCGCGGCCCCGGCGCGCCCGAGGGTGCAGTGCCACGCTGCCAGCTCCCTCCCAGCCCTCCCCTTCCGGGCCTTGGCCGAGCCCCGGCCGAGCCTCGGCCGTGCACTGCCTTGGCCGCCGCGGCCAGCACCGCCTCGGGGCGCCCCGGGTGCTGCGGGGCAGGCTAGCCGTCCGGCTCACTGCATGCCCCAGCATGCCCCAGTTCGGCCGAGTTTGCGAGGCGGGCGAGGCGGGCGGCGATCCCCGCCGCCGCTCTGCCTCTCCTACTTCTGGATGTTGCCGCCGCCGCCGGCCGATCCCCGCCGTGATCCCCCTCCACCTCGTCCCCCTCGTCGCGGAGTTAGTGCGGTGTGCAGCACGGACATTAATTAGCGAGCCGGTGACCTCCTCGCCTCCCCGCCGACCCAGGTGCCCTGATGCCCTAGTACCTTGGTGGCCGGTAACGGTTATGAGAGGTACGACAACCACGAATGTGCGTTTCCCTATCCTAACATAACCTAACCCAACCCAACCTAACCTAACCTAACCTAACCTAACCTAACCTAACCTAATCCAACCCAACCCAACCTAACCTAACCTAACCTAACCTAACCTAACGCAAGCCAAGCCAACCTACCCGGAAGCGGATGCGGTGCACGGTGACCTCCACCCTGGCGTAGAGGCGCGGGTCCGTGACGAAGCGGTACGTGCAGCGCACGGCGTCCTGCGACACGGAGGCCACGCCACCCGGCCCCACGCCGCGGAACACGAGCGTGTTGGTGGGCGAGCGCACGGTGCCGCGGGACGCGCGCCACGACGGGATGAGCTCGTCGCACGCCGTGCTGGCCACGCGGTCGCCCGACAGCGAGTTGTTGAAGAAGTCGTACTGCGCCCAGTAGTACAGCGACGACCTGTAACGGCGAGGAGGAACGCGTCAGTCAGTCAGGCGCACACAGAGTCAATGCAGGCTGCTTGTCTCCAAGCTGATTTTCATCATGACAACGCTGCGTGTCAATGATCACTTCGAATCGGGAAACATCGACATTGTAATCTAAGGTCTCACGCCAGCGTAAAAATGGAAAAATAGGTTTTTGAGGCTTGCAGACGTCTCGATGGCGCTGCGGATTCACAGCGTGACGCTCCCTCCGCGACGTTTCCTGGTTTCCTGTCAAGTGGCGTGAAAAATGCGGCGCGGCGGCCGCGGCCGGGGCCTCCCTGATGCAGACACGGTCCGGACAACCCCTCGCGGACCGCGCCGCCGCGCCGCCTCTCGGCTGCGAGCGACGTCCGGCGCGTCTCCGCCGCCCCGCCTTGACAGATGGAGCCCCCTCCCCGAGGTGCCGCGTGGGGCGGGGCGGGGCGGGGCGGGGCGGGGTGGGGCTCGCGGGGCATCCACGCCAATCCACAACAGGGGTCGGTCCCTGCCGGCCTGCCAACCAGCCGAGCGCACCTTGGGGCCCGAGGGGGCCCTGCTGGCTTGGCCGCGCCGCGCCGCGCCCCGCCCTGCCCACCCCGCCCCGCCACGCCCCGCCACGCAGCGGCCCGGAGCCCCCAGCGTCGTTTGCGACGCCGGCCCCGGAGCAACAAAGGCGTGTGGGGCGGAAACTCCGGCGTTGCGGCGTGAGAATGCCCCGCGGAGTGGCAGGGCAGGGCGTGCAGGGCGGCGAGTCTCAGGCGGCGGGGCGGAGGCCTGGCCGTTTGTGGTGGCCTGCCCACTGCCTGCCGGTGGGCGTCCGTCCTCGTCCGCCCGAGACTCGCAGACCGGATGTTGACTCACCGTCGCCCTCAGTGGCCCCCTCAAAGGACTTCCCCTGCGAAAGAAATTACGCACCCGGAGTAGCTGCCCGTCTTGCTCTCGAAGCGCACGAACATGGACTCGGCCGACGACACGAAGTCCGTCTTCTCCTGCGGCCGCGAGAAGGTGTCGCAGAAGGTGCGGATGATGCGAGTGTCGTCGGGCCAGGAGGCGTCGTACAGGGTCAGCGACTCGCCGCAGTCGCCCTCCCACGGCTCCATCGGGGACTCGATCCGGTTGATGCGGAAGCTGTCGGCACGCAGGGCATGAGTCACACAGTCCGGGGCGCGGGGCCCGCGTGGGGTGGGGCGCAGTCACAGAAAAATGACACTCTAGGAAAAACATTCTCAAGTTTTGAAAAGAAGCAAAAATCTGCGAGGGACTGGGGCTTGAGTGGCGTTTGCGGGCTGCGCGCCCGCGCGGCAGGCGATAGGCCACCCGCCCGACGGGCATGTCTCGCGGGCTGGCCGATCGCCGACTTAGCAGGCGCGCTGGGTTGGCCGGCAGGCCGACAGCGTACCTGGGGAAGGAGAGGCGCACGACGTGGCCCGGGTCGCCCTGGATGAGGTAGGTGCAGGTGGTGTGCGGCGGGTACCAGTGCACCACCGACAGGAAGACGCCCTCCTGGTCGCCGGCCTTGCGCAGCGCCTGCTGGCTGAGCCTCCAGGAGCAGGCGCCGGGCAGGCGGGCCGCGGCAGTCTGGTTGCGGCCGGGCCACGAGCCCACGTTGAAGTGGAAGCCCGAGTGCAGCAGCGGCCCGGCCGGCGACGTCACGAACTCGACGAGCAGCGAGTTGCCCGTGCCGATGATGGAGTACGGGAAGCGGCCCATGCCGCAGAACACGCCCACCAACGGGGCGCGCTGGTCGCGGCCGTCGAACACGCGCAGGTAGTCGTGCGGGCAGTTCTCGGCGCCTGCGGGAACAACAGCCGAAGTCTCACTGCGCGTCGGTGAATCCAGCGCGAGCAGACGCAGCCGCCTGGCGGTGGCGTCCGGACTCGGAACGAAATACTCTTTTTATGCGACTCCCCCGGCCCGGCAGCCAACAGCCAGGCACAGCCAGGCCGGCTGGCGAGATAGTTGGCGCGCGGTCCGCGGCATACAGAGCGCTGGGACTGGGACAGCGCTGGCTGGCTGGGGCTGGCTGGGGCTGGCTGGGACGCTGTGCGATAAGGGGTGGGGGCGTGGGGGCACGTACCCGACGAAATGGGCCTCATGGGGCACGTCATAATGTTCTCGCAGCGCTGGCCGTCCACGTTGAACTCCTCGTTCTCCAGGTACAGCTTGATGTGGGGCAGCGTCGTGTTGAGGCGGTAGCTGCAGTGCAGGCCGCGCGGCGTGACCCCCGGGAAGGCGGGCGACTGCACGTAGCACGTCTGCAGGCGGCAGTCAACGAAGGCGCGCTCGCAGTACGTCCTGCAACATCGACAAGGCGTTGGTGCGCGGCTCCGAGAAAGAAGAAAACAGTGTAACGTGTTTAGAAACCTGATAGACACCCTTAAAAACATACCAAAAACAAGATTAAGAAACGACCTTTTTTTTTTTTTCGAAAAAAATAAATAAAAAAGTCGGGAAGAATGTTCGCGTCGCAGAGCAGCAATTAAGCATTCGGGGGAAGGATCCTTCATTATTTCCGAACTGGCCCAGTGCCCCCGTTGCCGGCGTTCGCCAGCGCTCGCAGACGGGCGGGGAGTGCAAGCAACAAATTGGCTGAAGTGAAAGAAGGACGCCAGGTGAAAAGAAATGGGCAGGAAAGAGACGGAGGAGGAGGGGGAAGGGTGGTTGTTCATTTGTTCGAGGGTAATGAGCACTGCGCGTACAGTGGGATGGGGACAGCGCCGGCCGGGGCGGGGCGGAGCGGGGCGGGGCGGGGCGGGCCGCTCCCAGCTGCCGTTCCAAAGGGAGTGCCATACGGCAGAATGAGCTAATATACCCCCTCCTCTCTCTCTCTCCCTCCGCCCGCCCCCGCCATTAAGTCACAGATGTTCTTTTATGTGGCTGGCTGCCGAGGCTGCCGTGGCTGCCGCTGGCTGCACAATGGCCGTTCCGTCGCATCCAGAGATTACGGTGGAGGCGCCACCATGGGTCGCCGCGCGACTCAAGGTGCCCATGACGATGACGTCACCGTCGATACTCCCAGCCACCGTGTGCAGCGAGGGGTATTCCCGCGTCGGCAGCCGGAGCGGATTCGTGGACCAAATGGCGCGCCCGCATGGCGGTGTTGGGGGTGCTGGCGGGCGAATGCAGGACCCAAAATAAACATAAGCAGGTCACGCCACCTCTCTCTTCGACCTCGTGCTTTCAATGCACCAGAGCGCTGTGCTGCTGGCTCATTCTTCAGGTAAAAAGGGTATTATTCCAAACCAGAAACGAGTCTGGCGACTCACCACACTGTGTAAAAGTGTGCCGGTTGGGTGCCGCGCGTCGCAGATGGTCTTTCTGAACCGATTCCCGCGTCCCTGTGGCCTTTCACATTCAAATGTAAACGCAAAAAAACAGAGCGAGAAACAGAAAAAGGAAACGAAAAATAATGCCGAGGGAAAAGTGCGCGGTCCTTGCGTTTGCCTCTTTCAAGGGGATCAAATACGCGTCTCGTTTCACGGCAACCGTGCGCTCCCCGCTGTGCACCTTGCGGCTCTCACAGTGTGGTGCCCGCCGGCGCCATGCCCACACTGCAAGCCGCAGTCCGCCCCGCCACGGCAAAGCGGCAGCAAAGCCCCCCCCCCCCCCCCGGCCCCCGGCGGGGGATATGCAATATCTAATATCCGCCGGCCGCGTCTCGCGTCTGTGTGTCTTTGGAGGAAACTTCCGCGCCATGAGTTCTTTCGCTACATCTCCCTTCTCGCTGCACACCGCCAGCCGCCTCGGCCACCCCATCGCCGTTCGACTACTTCGCGGTCCCCGCGCCGCGCCTCCAAGGCCCCCGTCGTCGTCGTCGTCGGCGGCGGCGGCGGCGGCGGCGCGGAGGGGAGTCCACGCCGTTGACCACAGTAGTGGGGTCATTACGGCGACCGGGAAGAAAGGCGGACGCGTATATATACGTCATGAGGCCACCGCAAACGGCACCGCAACTTTCTCTCTGTGTGTGAATGTGTGCGTGTGTGTGTGAGAGAGAGCGAGCGGAGAGAGTGTTGTGAAAGGAGGGGTTTTGTAGTGCAAGGACGAGGAGATGAGTGCAGAGGAAAGAAAGAGTGATGGCAAAGTGGAGACAAAGGACAAGCCGGCGGGCGGACGGACGGACACTCTTGGCCAAACACGCGGGACAAGATAGCTCGCGATAAATTACCCACTCCCTCTCTCTTTCTCCCTTACCCCGGCGTGGCGATGCCCCTCCTGTTGGGGTACAGCTCGGGGTGCTGGCCGTAGCGCTGGTACACCTCGAAGGGCTGGTGGGCCTTGGAGTCGAAGGCCCAGTACGTCTGCTCCGTGAAGTTGTCCACCTGGAACTGGAGCTTGACGAAGTTGGTCTCCGAGATGAAGGTCTGCGCCTGCTCGATCTCGCCGCAGAACATGCCCAGCGACTTCCGGTTCGTGATCTCGGTGCTGTTCCGGTTGCCATCCGTAATCTAAAACAAAAAAAAAAAACATTTTCATCAATTTTTTTGCATGGTATTTTTGACGATTTTTTCTTCTTTTGGGTATGCGATGATCCCTGGTGACAGGGCCGTGGGCGGACGCGTGTCGCGACTGCGAGATCGGCCCCTGACCTTGCATTATAACCGAGGTCGGCGGTCCCGCGGTCCCGCCCGTCGTGCGAGGAGGTCACGTTCCCAGAGAGATGTCACGACGCCTGCTGTGCCCGGGCCGCGGCCGAGGAGGCCGTCAAGGAGGACTTGGCGGCCGGCCATACGGCGCCAAGGCCACTGGCGAGCCAGGGCAGCCAGAGCCCCACACCTCGGCGACCTGGACCATTCCGAGGGCAGTCTTTGTCCTCCTCTCGTCTTTCGCTCGCTCCGTTCGTCTGTGATACTCCCAGGCGGCTACCCTTGACAGCTGGAGCGCGGTGCTGAGTAGCCGTTACAATACGACCAACGGCCCGAGCTCTTGCCCCGCAGAGCCTCTCAAGGCCGAGAAGAAGACACAAAAGTGAGGGGCAGCAAAACCGAAAACAAGCTGATGGATTTCTAGCTTTCTTTTGAAAGATTTTCTAACAAAACTATCCATTGTCGCAATTTTTTTTCAGTGACCTCGCTTCCTTGCGCTTCGCGCATCGCGGCACAAAAGGGCGGCCCTTTCTTCCAGTGGTGCGGCATGGAGCGCGCCGTTCAGGCGACACCCCGAGACACCCAATAGATCAATAAGTCATTCAATGCGTATCAATGCGGGCCGAGGCGGCCTTATTGGTGCTGTCAATAGGCAGCATCGTGGCTCCGGAGAAACAGGGAAAACAGCCTGGAAAAAAGCTCAACCTTTCGGAGGGAAAAAAAAGGAAAACTGGAGTCCTGTAGTACCGTGATGGGGCGGAGCCGTGGGAATTCCAGCAAAGGTTTCTCTCTCTCTCTCCTCGGCGAGTCCTCGGGAGCGGTCTGAGGCGACTGGGTCAGGGCACACCGTCCGAGGTGACAGCCCCCTTCCCCCTTCCCCCTTCCCCCCTTCCCCCTTCCCCCCTTCCCCCTTCCCCCTTCCCGCCGCCACTGCTCGGAGTGATTCAATTGTTCGTCCTCTGCACTTTTCCCCCGCGTGTCGGAGCCGCCGGCGGCGTCGCGGCTGCCGTGCCGTGCCGTGCCGTGCCGAGCCGTGCCGAGCCGTGCCGTGTGGCGCCACCTTCGCGCTTCGCGCTCCGTCGGGGTGGAGCTTCTTTCCTTTTTGTGGCGCTGGCCCGGGCCGCTGGCTGCTGCCGCTGGCTGCCGGCTCCGGAACCCTCCGAGAGTTTCCCCCGCAAAACACCGCACGCGCGTACCTGCTGCCGCGGCGGCAGCGCCCCTGGCGGCGGGGAGGCGGCGAACGGGATGAGGGTTCAGAGGGCGCGGCTCGGCCAGGCTGGGCTGGGCGGTGCGTCCCATTTGGAGAGGCCTCCCGCAAGGCCTCCCCGCAAGGCTGACGGGACGAGGACGGAAAAAGGAATAAAAACCAACCGAAGGGGCGGCGGTGATCGGTCGGGTCCGGATCAACTCACGCGTGGCGTCCGCCGGCCCGTCGCTCCACCCGCGGTCGCTTTGCCTGCCGAGCCGCTCGACCGGAAGGGGTGGGGGTGGGGGGGGGGGGGGGGGCACGAGCGAGTCAGTGTTCTCTCGCTGTCTCACTCGCGCCGACACGGGACGCCCCGTGAGTGCGAGAGAGACAGCGCCGGGCTAACAAGCCGCTTTTGCTCCCCGCGTCGCTTAGTGCGCCCCACAGACAGAGGTAACGAATAGCGAGAAAGGGCGCGACGTTCTTTTTTTGCGCGACTGTACCCGTTTCCGAACTCGGATATTGTTATTGCCGTTTGGAAGAATGACGACGCGCTCGCCGGCGGAACGCGGCGGACGGACAGGACGCCAGTAATCTGGACCGACATCCACACGACAACGAGTTGGAACACATTCCCTGGCTGGAATTACTCGGCACGCACGCACACACGCGCGCGCTCACATACATCACGCGATACACGGTGCGGGGCTGTTTCCGAACGACCATCCATCTCTCTCGCGCCCCTGCGGCCTGCGGGACGGCCCACGAGAGTGAGAGAGACAGCAGTCTATGCCGGCGGAAAACAGCGCGCTGGATTGACGGTGCCGAGCGGGTCCGCGTACCGACACTTGTTCCCCGCCAAGCCGATCAACACCGAGGCATTCGTCCGAAGCCACCGGCTAACGACCGACGAGCCACCGGTTTTTGAAGCGCCCCGCTGCCATTTGCAGTGTGTGAGAGGGAGGAGGGGAGGAGGCCCGCCTGTCTGTCGCTCCCCTCACTCCGTCTGTCGGCCTGCACCGATTTCACAGGGGACCTCTCAAAGCGAGGCTCCAAGTTTCAGCAGTGCGGCTCATGTGATCTACGCATTCCGAGCGATATCCGTCAGCCTCTGTGATTAGCGCCAGTTCACCGCCAGCTGCTGGGTTCTCTCGGCTCTCTCTCTCCCTCAGCTTGCTATCGTGCCAGAGCGGGAGAGAGGGAGAGAGACAGAGAGAGGCCTCCGTTCAGTCTGCCATGTGCTATGGCGTGGTGTCGGAGCGCGCGCGCGAGTTTCCGCATTCCGACGGAATTGACCAATTAAACTGGCGAGAAAAAAGGCTAAAAGAGAAAGCGCGGGAAAAGCCATTATTCGGACGCGGGAAATGCGGGAAATGCGCGAATCCAGCTGCAGTGACAGACCGGTCGCGGCCCCCCGTTAGAATCGAGACTGATGACTACGGCCAACTTTGTTGGCGTAACTACGATGATTACTCTTAGGCAGGCAGCCAGAGAGCCCAGAGGACAGAGGGTAAAGGCCAGCTGCCTGCCTGCGGGGGGAGAGCCAGGGCACAGCCAGGGCACAGCCCTCCCAAGCCCGAGCCAAACAATAAACATCGCTCAATCAGAGCACATTATTGCCAGGCGGGCCAGGCGAGCCAGGCGCAAGGGATTGGTGGGGCTGCCGGGCTGGGTCGTAGGGCCGGGCAGGACGGGGAAGTATTTGAGGGAGGCGGCGGGGCGGGGCGGGGCGGGGCGGGGCGCAGGTGGACGGCCAGGGCGTCCTCGCGGTCGTTGGCGTCCTCGGCGTCGCCATGGCGTCGCGGGTACCCCACTCTAGGGTCGCCGCCAGTCAGGTTCGTTATTGACACTCCGCGCTGACACTCGCACTCCCACTCGCAGCAGTCCCTTATCCACTCCGCAGATCGGGGGACGCGTCGCTCGACGGGGAAAAAGAGGGTTGCGGGGGACTCTCGAAGAAAGAGAGGGCGACGCACGGCGCCCCCCGCCCCGCCGCCGCCAACAAGGTCCCGGACTACAAGGTGTGGCGGGGCGGGGGACGCCAGCAGTGAACCAGGTCGTATAGATTGTGATCCAGCGAGGACCCTGACCCATCCACCACAATAACCCCTTGAGTCCGATTTTAGATCGAACCTTTCCGCCCGCCGTGTGTGAGTGCGCTCGCGTTCGTGTGTGTGAAAGAGAGAGAGCGTGTGTGTGTGTCCAGGAGGGCGGCGAGGCTGGCGCGCTCCGAATGGGCCGGGCTATCTCCCCGCGCGGCTCGGCGCGGTGTTAGAATTCCCCGCCACTGCTCGGTGCCGCGGGATACCAGCCAATGCTTATGCCGCTGCGAAATGCTATGTTGGCTCGAAATGCGGCGTCGGCGGCCCGGTGCGCGCTCCCATCCCTCCCCATCCCTCTTAACGCGCGCTCGGCCCAGCGGTCGTACGGCATTCCATTGGCCGGCGCAGCCTTGACACGCAGCGAGCGGCATGGCCAGCAGGCATGGCATGCATGCAGGCAAACAAGGCCGCGCCGCCCGCCGCGTTGGCCGTTCTCGGTGCCAGCGATGCGACGCGCGCGAGGCTAGGCGAGGCTAGGCGAGGCCGCCGGCCGGCAGTGTGTCACTCCCTCACTGTAAACAGCCCGGACAGCGGGCAGCAGCAGCGGCATGGCACTGGCGCGAACACTATTAAGTGCAGATTCATATCGGCTTTGGAACCTCGCTGCTGGCGGACGGGCTGGCGGACGGGCGGGCGGGCGGACGGGCGGGCCGACCGTAGTCTGGTTCCAAAGCGCCTCATCGCTCGGCCTCTCTCTCCCGCCCGTTCGACCCGCCCCACGAGAGCGACAGAGACGGTCCGAGCCAGCCCGCCGGCGGCCGGTGCCAAGGACTCGTGGAGGGGAGCAGGGCTTTAAGGACGATTATTTCAAAGCAGTGCGGCAAAGGGCGAGAGCGAGAATTATATAACACAGGGCCGCTCCGGGCGGCACGGGGAATCTCTTTCCGGGAAAATCAGTGAGGCATGCCGGAGCGGTGTAAGTAGTGCCGGGGCGGCAAAGCGTCGCGAGGCGTCGCGAGGCGTCGCAAGGGCAGATGGGTTAAAGGGGGTGTAAAACGGTGTCCGAGGCCTCGGACTGATCGAAGGAGAAAAGGCCGCCGAGGAATGAGGCCGTTACGTGGAGCGAATGGGGCCGTGCTGCAATTTGTTAACAGTTGTTTGAAGACTGCGGTCCGCGGGGCGGGGCGGGGTATCCGCGCCACCGGCTCGCAGCCAGAGCCGCTATAAAAGGGGTTACGGCTTCGAGAGCCATCCCCCGACGGCCGTTCCTGGCCCCCTGCCCCCTCCGCCACAGCGAGTTGGTATTCGAGCGACACTCGGACCCACAAGGCCTCTAGCAGACCCACTCCGAACGGCGCTCCGTCGCTCTCTCTCGCACCCACGGGGCGCTCAGAGGGAGACAGAGCGACGAAGCCGTGGTTCGCAATCGCCCCCCGGGCTGCGGGAATTGTTTTGCGTGGGGCTCATCGCCAGGGTGGTTGGCCCGGTCGGCACCCTCGTGCGTCGCTCTCTCTCTCTCGCACTCATAGGGCCTGACGCAAGGGTGCGAGCGAGACGGAATGACGTCCTTCATGGTCACCTCCGAGTCTCAGTAATGAGGCGGCATTCGAAACGAATACTAGGTCTGGCT